GCCTCCTCGACCTCTTCCAAGACCACCACGGCCTCGAATAGGCCGGTCAATAATCGGTCTACAACAAATAAAAAATTATATACTTCCAAGGTTTTTGGAAAAAGGAGTAAGGGAAATTCAGAAGTTCAAAAATGCAGAAACATATTTACTGGCTCATATCCCAACTGTTAAATACATGTTTTAGAAAATTCAAAATAGTCTATTTCTAAACACTTAAAGGAAATCAGAACTAGGAAGCTCCCCAAAGCAAAAAAATTATTTTCACGTTGTCTAAAAGTTTACTACTGATGCATATACTGTCTCATTGTTACTCATTTCACATTATAATACAGTAAAATTGCTATTCACCAATACTTAAAAATTAAAACACACACATCTGATCTGCATAATATGAATAATCTATTTTGCTATAAACAATTACACATTAGTATTTTCCTGTTAACATCTGGGGACAGCAAGGAAAAGAAACTGTCGTCAATTCAACTGAAGTATTTCATTACAAGAAATGTAAGTCTGTATACTCAAAATGTCTGAAGTATAACACAAACACTGAGATGTTTCTCTGAAAAACTGAAAAATTAACCAGCCACAGTTTCCTGGCAATTATGCTTCATTTATAGCTTTGTGTTAAGATATGACTCCATAAACTGACAAAACATGAAGAGATTAAAAAACAATCTTGCCTGTCAACTGAAAATTCTCCTCCTTCACCCTTTTCTTCAAGTGGCTTTTCAAATCGTCTTTCACGAGGTGGTCGCCTTTCTGGTCTCCTATCGATTATCTTCCCTTCACCCTGCAGTTGTTGATCAGGTCTTCTTCCAACGCGTCTTATTCCTAAAATGATAAGGAACGTGCATAAGCAAGTTATTTTTTGCAACACAAAAAATTCAGGCCTAGACTATTACAAGAAAAAGAAAAATTACTACTCCCTTGCTGTTGAACAAGGCTAACATTGGGCATCTCTAAAGTGTAACAAAGTACTTCAGAAAAATTCCTAAACAATAAACTTGTTTCAAACTTCTATTTAGTTTGTCTAATCATTTTTCCCCCTAAAGCATTATCTATGTGATGACTTACTTGGGAATCTTCTGGATAGCCATTATTTTTCTCACTTTTCAAGATGCCAGTCTCTTAATTTAGAATTCTAAATTTAAAGAAATTTTATACAAATGATACATTTTGGTTTTAAAGATACCAAAGAAGATAACACCAGTAGCCATTTATAAATAATAACCAAGCAAACCCACAACAGATAAGGACCCTCAAAAAAATAGTGAAAGCCACATTTTATTTTACATAATCTAGAGGGGGTAAAAACACAATAGAGTAAAAAAGATCGATGATTCTATGAAATAACAAAACTGAAACGAAAACAAATGCCATTTAGGATTACATTTCTATAGTTGAAAACAGCTATTTAACACAGAAAAAAAGTACTATCTTTCTCTATTAGTTTATATACACGTATAAGTATATATACACACACATATCACACCTAACTTAAAAAAAAATACTGTTACACAACCACTAAAAAAATAGTCCAGTTATTTTATTATTATGGAGAGATCATTTTTGGTTTGCCCTTACAAGTACCTTGTTACCAAAGAATCTTTAAAAATAATATACACACACAAAAGGACCCCTTTAAAGCAAGACTTAAAAAAATAAAAACTTCTGGCACTAAGTGATGGCTGAAGCATTTATTGATTTCCCTATTTACTTCTTTTTTTCCTGTTAGTATCAGAGGTGAAAAAGGAAACCAATATGCATTACTGGTGGCCTTAAGGATAGTAAGTAGACTGATGGTTAAATTCAAGACTGTAATATTTTAGGTGTGCTCTAATTCCCAGACCACAGTTTCTGACAGTAAAAAAGCACCTGAGGAATTGGTTTCACAAGAAATTAAGTTGATTCACTCTGGTTCTTTGTATGAAAGTGTAACACCATCAGGATGTACCACCCAATTATTCAGCTGCTTGTAGCTAGAGTCAACTGGTAAATGTCAAACTCTTCAATGAAATTTTAAGGTCCATTCCACATAAACCCTCAGGACAGACCACAAATGTAACATCTTACACCAAGGCGTTTTAATAAATTTCATCAGAGGTAAGTGTACTGGGGTGGAGCTTTGGAACCAGTCCTTACAATATCTAAGCCACACACACCCAAAAGAACAATGGCTTGCTTCCCCAAGCCAATATTGAATATTAGACTTACAGCAACTAACAAACTTACAAATAAATTTAACCCATGATTGACATTTAGAAAAGCAAGCTTCTCTTTATTTTCACTAGATTCCAGGCTTTTAATATTTAAAAATTAAAAACACCTTGGGGTGCTCTCAGTGAAATTCTGTAGTGTCAGTTCTCAAGTTCTTCATGTGGACAAAAAACGAACTACAAGATTAATTCATAAAATATAAACATTAAATACATATCCAAAGCATGACTAGAATTGTACCAGGACCTCTATTCAAAGACATTGAACACATGATCAGGGTAACAATCTTTCCCACTATAAGAGGCAGGGACTTTGTTTACATGTCTGTCCTTTCCCAATGCCCAAAACATTGACTGATAAGTAGTAGGATCTCAAAACAACTTTTTTTCACTCCAAATTTTCCGTATATTTCTTAGCTTGCGCTTTATACAATCTAAAGTTAAGCTTGTTCTGAAATGCTGACATAAGGAAAATGTTTATAGATAATAATGGAAGTTTTCCCAAGGAAAGACTACTGAACAGTGAAGTTACTCCTAGTATTAAATTTACTAAACAGTTTTCTAACTTTGTAATTTAAACGACTAGTTTTCAAGTAAGAGCTTATTTCAACTGTGGGCTTTATGATCAAAGCAAATAAGGAGTTTAACATGCTTCATGCTTGGAACAATCAAAATGGGTGAACATACTTCAGATTCAATTTTTTTTGTACTGTCTTTGCATCGCTGCGACCAAGGAAGTAAATCTGAGCATAATTTAAATAATTACACAAGCCAGTATTCCTTAACACAGAAATTAAATGATTTATTAGACTGTGCTACAGGTTGCTATAAAGCATAGCTGACTGAATACTTAGCCGAAGCAATGTATACATGTTTTCTACTTCTCCAACTTGTGCTTCCCTTCCCAACCTGTAATTTTAATGCAACTGTTTTATTTACCACCTAGGTTCTTCACCCCAAACCTCATAAATCTAAGTATTAAAAAAAAAACCCAAAACTAAACCAAAACCTAACACAATTGTTTTGCTTTTTACATTAGTTGAATCTTATCAAATTCAACTAAAGCTAAGGTGAACTCCTTTCAGAAGCACGTGGTAGCACGGTAGCAAAGGAAAATTTCAACTTTCAACACATAAAGGAAACCTCTACTATTCACAGCTTAGGTCCTACACCTACTTGCCATGGATGACCATAACAAACCAGTAAGGAGAATGCAAAAACCAAGTTCAAGACAATCCTGCGAAGTTTATAGAGACCTGGAAGCAACTGCCCGCCAATGAAATCCTGACCATGCTTCACGCACATGGGGAGAAACGGGCTCTGCGGAGGCTACCGTTGTGACAGCCTAGACACTGACTGCCCCACGAGGCCCAGGCCAGGGCACACCACATGAAACACTGCGTGCGGGGGTCGGGGGAGTGGATCATGACCCGAGGGCGAGCCTCAGAATTTCCTGCAATCACCAAGTCTTCATTCAGAATTCCCGCTTCTGCTCAATCCAGGGTAGTCAAATTTCTCTTTCCCAATAGCTTCACTCACTCCAGCGAGCGATTAAGTTTCTAATAGCTGAGGGGGCGAAGGGGGAACAATCAAGCACATGTGGCAACTAAAATGCCAGCTTACTCCACAATCTGCTCGAACACGGGGGTAGCTTAACTGGAAACTCCGACCCCTGCTTTTCTCGGGGGTACCCCGCGCCATCCTGGGACAAGATGGCAGGACAGGAGCCTAAGAGAGACGGCTGCATTCAAAGCAGCAGGTTGAGGGAGATCTCTGAGCAGGAAGAGGCCATGGATCCCCCGCTGCCCCATTAACTGCAAAAGCTCCTATAAGTGGCTCCCTTCCCCGAACCTCGGTCCATGCGCCCGCCCGCCAAGGAATCCGGCGGGAAGGCAACAGCCTCCCAGGATCCCGAGCACGCTGGAGCAGCAGCTCGCCTCCGGACCAGGCTCCTCCGCTCAGAGACTGAGGCGGGAAGGGGGTGGCTCCAGAATCCTTGCAGGCGGCGGTTTGAACTTGGGGCTACCACGCTCCCAGCACCTTCGCAGGACCTGCCTTTGTCGTGTGGGGAAAACGCAAGAAAATCGGCGGCAAAGTCTCCCGCGGACCCGCGGAGCACCAAAAGCAAGTGGCAGTCGCCAAGTCCCCTCACTCCTTCCCTCCATCCCGGGTCTCCCCCACCTTCCACCACAGCTTTACCTTCTTTCTTAAGCGCCACGGGCGGCTGCGTCTCCTCCTTCTTGTCAACCACGCCAATGCTGGGGGGCAGCGGGTTCTTGCGGTCTTTCTGGGACTCTTTACGCAGCTGTTTGCCCGCCGCGTTAGAGTTGGTCTGCGCTGCGGCCTGAGCTGCGCTCTTGGCCCCAGGGCCCCCAACGCCGCCCCCGCCGGCTTCTTTTTTCTTGTTCTCTGCTGCCTTCAACACCTCGAAGGGGTCCGATTCGTCGTCAAATAACTGGTCGAATCGGTTGGTGACCACGCAGCCGAAGCCTTCCTGTAAGTGCCCAGGCATGATGGTGGCTCGGCGGCGCGTTCCTCCACGGATTGCAGTGGGCCGCGCCGAGCCAAAAGCGCCTGCTTCAGCTCTTCCCACAAGATGGCCGGGCCGAGAAAGGGGGGCCGTCTTCTCTTCCGGCGCCAGGCACACATCCGGGAGCGGCCAGCGCCGCAGGGCACCATGGGCTATGTAGGCCAGAGTCGCTTTTCTCGAAGCGGCTCCAGGCGCCAAGACTACAATTCCCAGAATACACGGCGCGGCAACTCTTCGCGCGCACCTCAGAGGCGGGACCTCGGCGAAGGAGTGGAGCTTGAGAGTTGAGGGAGGTGAAGCGCGTTGGTGGGCGGAGTCCTGCCACCTGCTCTCGCCGCCCTTAAACTCTCTGGGTATAGAGCTACGCTGAAAACAGGAAAACGTGACGGTGTGTTTTGCTCGCGAAAGTTCTCAGTCTTCGGTTTTACTCCCCGCCTCCGGCCCAGGCTAACTTTCCCCACCTGTCGGGGAGGGTCAAGGTGACTCCAAGTCTTACATGTGGAGACCCACAGACTTCCGGGGCTGGGAGACGGCTGAGGTGCAGCACTGGCCGAGCGAAGGCAGGACCCGCTCTGTTCCAGGTCCCTAGCCGCTCAGTTGCTGGACTCGCCCTCCTGCACCCCCAATAATGAATCGACGCTCTTGTGTTTAATGTGAAGCGGAATAAGCTGCTTCTCCCGGGGACATGAACTCGAGTAGGAGAATTAAGCCAAGAGATAAGTTGAACTATTACATGTGAGTGTTGCGCGCTTTTCTTGGATGAGAAATGCCGTGTTGTGACTGGTGCTTTAATTGCTGTTAACTCCTGACGGTGCAGCACTAGCCAGACACTGGGCAAGCCTCGAAAAAGCACTGTTTGTAGAAACACTTTCTAGAGTCAGTCCAATTGTCCGTTAGTGTCGGGCAAGCCAAGGGTTGGGTGTTAGTAAAATGTGCTCCAGAAGCGACATTTTAGAGCTCTCAACGTGTGTGCTGGGAGGTGCACTGAGGGAAAGAAAATAGGTCAACGAATTAATTGTCATTACTAAAAGCATTGATATTAGTTGAAAATATTAAAGTCCGTAACAGTGTCAAGGCATTTTCAAGCATATCTGGTAACACTGTAAGTTTGAATATATCATCCAATTTCTAAACCTTTTTCCATTAACACAAAATATAGCAAACACATCTCTAATATTCTAGGTGCTGTAAATAACCTTAATGTCAACAACTTGTTTAGGTAGTTTCCCTTTTCACGAATGGTGAAACTATTTCAGAGGTGAAATGACTTACCAGGTTCACATTTCTATAAGTACTAGTGCCAGGAGTTAACCCAGGCTTCTAACTCCACTGTAAGACTCTTAACATTAACTGTTTAACCCAAGCTCTGCCTTCTGACAGAAGTCAGTCAATTAAAAGTTAATTTCCAATGTTTAATAAGACTTAAATACTGTTGCATGTCAGGCAGGCTATGTAATATACGGCTAAATGTAATCTTACTAGTTTCCAGGCAGAATTTCTATCAATTCCTTAACAGGGAAAATAAGAGTCATATTACAGGCATGTGACAGTAAGCCTAGTGGTTTTCTTACTTCTAAATCCAACCCACATTCCTGAAAGTCACCTATTTCTCTGTTGCCTACATCCCTGTCGCACACACTCCCATCTGACACACTGACCCCACCTCCTTCCACAAGCTCTGGCTCTTGTGGCTCCTACCAAGACAAAGGACGGGAGTTTTTGGCCATACTCTTCTTGCCCCTTTGAAAATTGCTCAAGTGCAATTTGGAAGATCTCCATACTTTGACAAACTCTTTCTCTTTACCAAGAGATACCTGTTAATATCTACATCTTTGAGACATCTGCTATAGCTCCTCTTCTTACCTCTTTCTGGCCACTGCCACAACATTAAGAGCCAAAACTTGATATTAAACTATGTGCTTGGTGCACTTTACATGTGTGGTCTCATTTAATCCTCATGTCAACTCTATGAAAAAGGTATTATTATTGCCTTTTTAAGATGAGGAAAGCAAAACACAAAGAGACTAAGTAACTTACCCACTCCTACCACAGTCTAGGGAGCAGGGCAGGCCTGTCCTTGGTCATTTTGATCCTATGTACAGGTGTCGTTTCCTCAAACAGATCCTTATGACCACCAAACATTATTACAACAGGGATGCTTACAGATAAACTACACATAGGGGAATTGTGTGACTATGAATTGTTGCGGTTCACTCATGCTCCTCAGGGAGTTTGCATATTACTATTACATAAAAATATGAATAAACATTTGGGGAAAATGGGAAAAACTGGTAAGCAGTTTCAACTTCCTTCTCTGCCTTTCATCTTTCCTGGAATTTTGGTTAATTCAGGAAAGTTTTAAAGCCCCTTTTTTTTTTAGGTTTTTTTTTTTTTTTTTTTTTTTTTTGGTGGGGAGGCAGTTAGGTAATTGGATCTATTTATTTAATTATTTATTTAATGATAGTACTGGGGATTGAACCCAGGACCTTGTGCATGCTGAGTATGCACTTTACCACTTGAGCTACACCCTCCCCACTAAAGTCCCTTTTTAAAGTAAACAAATAAAGCTCAAAATCCTAATTCTTTTACATCTCACAATCAATTTTATTTTATAAGTAATTACTTTCACTAATTTTTCCTTTCTCTTGAGAAGTTAAAATAGTCTTTAAAAATATTTTAAAAGTTCCTGCTACTCTCCATAGAAAAAATATTGGTGGAATAAACCTTAAGAAAGAAGGAAAGGAGACTTCTTGGCAGACTTATTCAAATGAAAGTCAGGAGTTGTAAAGTGACAAGTTATACCACTGGTTAGAAATGTAGCCTAAAATATCAGCTCTCTGAAGCAATGCTTGAATCACATATTGTTCTCTGAAAAATACTTGTGCAACTTCACAGCCTTATCTATAGCAAGCTTTCTAGAGAGTTTTCTAGCAGGAAATGCTGAAAACTATTGACATATCTTAATTATAAATCCAATATAGTTGTCTAATGTTAATGAAACTAAGAAACAGAATATTATACCGTCCAGCCCTCAGTTGTTTTTAGGATGCTAATATTCAATTCTCAACCACATTGCAACTTGTTTTTACCCATTTCTCAGTGATCTCAATCCCTGTTACTGACTGATGCTAAGTAATAATAATTACTAACAACAACTACAGTTTGAGCATTTTCTATGTGCTTGATGCTGTGCTAAGTACCTTACACGAATCATTTCCTCTAATTCTCAGAACAACATTATGGATTAAATGGTATTACTACCCCTACTCCACCTGTACACATGGGGAAACTGTAGTTAAGCGCCTCTCCCAAATTCACGTTACCTGGAAGAGTTCAGTCTGATCTCACAGCCCAAGCACACAATTGTTATACTTGTGAGGGACATAGTAAAGGGAACAAAGTCTTTCATTCTTACATTGCTACCACCTGTAGCAAAAACTATCAATTCTCTTATAACACTTTGGGGACACTGGACACAGGTATCATATAAATGTAAATAAGAGAATCTAATTTTTAGTGTACTCTAACTGTATAGTGCATTTTAAAAACAAAAGAAATAAAGGTGGTTCTTATGAAGAAAAGGGCAAATCCTCTTATGTCTGAGGATGGAATGCTAAATATAATATTGCAAGTCTAGGCTCTTACTAAAGTTAGAATATCAAAGCTAAAAATAGAAATATTACACTGTCTATTTTGCTGCCTCAAACTTTCTCTGAAGGTTGATTCTCTTGATTTTAAACTTCTCTTCCTTTTTTTCCCCTACATTATATTTTTTCATTGAAGTATAGTAGGTTTACAATGTTGTGTTCTTTTAAAAAACAGCTTTATCAAGACATAATTCACATGCCATATAATTCACCATCTAATTCACAGAATTGTGCCATTATTACCATTATCTAACTTTAGAACATTCTTGGCACCCCGAAAAGAAACCCATACCCATTAACTGTCAGTTCCCATTCCCTCCATTCCCAGCTCTGGGCAACTACTAATCTACTTTCTGTCTTATAGATTTGCCTATTCTGAACATTTCATATAAATGGAGTCACGTAGTCTTTTGTGACTGGCTTCGTTCACTTAGCATAATTTTTCTAGGTTCATGCTTGTTGTAGCATGTATTTGTACTTAATTCCTTTTTATGAATGAATAACATTCCATTGTATGGATAGACTACATTTTATTTATACATTCGCCAGTTGATGGGCATTTGGGTTATTTCTGCTTTTTGACTGTTATGAATAATGCTGTTAAGAATATTTGTTTACAGGGCTTGTGTGCATATGTGTTTCCATTTCTCATAAATGTATATCTAGGAACGGAATTGCTAGGTCATATGGTAACACTATGTTTAACATTTTGAGGAACCAAACTCTTTTCCAAAGAGGCTGCACCATTTTACAATCCTACTAACAATTATGAGGGTTCCAGATTCTCCACATCCTGTGTGTCCATCTTTTGATTATAGCCATCCTAGTGGGTGTGAAGTGGTCTCTCACTGTAGTTTTGATTGGTGTTTCCCTAATGGCTGTTGATGTTGGGCACCTTTAATATGCATATTGGCCATTCATATATCTTCTTTGGAGAAGATCTATTTAAATCTTTGCTGTTTTCTAACTGGTATATTTTTTATTATTCAATTGTAAAAATTCTTCATATAGTCCAGATTCAAGTGCCTAATCAGTTAAGTAAATGAATACTTCACAAATAGATAAATACATCACAGATAACATTTTCAGAAAGTAATTCATACTATGAGAACATAAGGTGAGGGAGGGACAACTTTTTTGGATTGCATGGTCAGAAAGCCTTCTAAGCTGAGGCCCGAACAATAAGAAACTAGCCTTGCGAAGATTTGAAGAAAGAGCCAAAGAAACAGCAAGCAAGGGAATGTGAAGTAGGAAGGAGCTGGTAGATTCCAAGACAAAGAACAAAAGGAAAAATAAAAATCTCTGAGTGTCTGTAGCCAAATGAGTATGAGGAGTGGTGAATTGGAGGACGTCCTACAGTGAATACAAAGTTAGTTAAGTCTGTGTGCTTTCGAGTTGCTTCCAGTTTTCTTCACCAAGAAAAATCCCTCAGCTAACATCGTATTAGAGCTTAACATTTAAAATGTTCTATAATCAAAATCCTCACTTGTTATTCTTAAAGAGGCCAGATCAACACATTCTTGAAGTTTTATCCTGACACTTTAGGTGTTGAGAGGGCAAGGGCATTCATATTAATCCAACAGGAGCTCAAACATTGCTCTCTTTTTGCTATCTAAGAGAAAAGTTCCCCTTTCATACCCCACCTGTTCTTGGCTTCTGTGAAGTGGATTAGAGGCAACAATACCAAAGAGTGTTGTCAGAAGTGTTCTCCATGGTGATATCATATTATTTACCAGGAGCTCCCAAAAAGCTGAGACAATACGTATCCAGGTGGTATCCCTAAAACTGAAAAATTAGGAGAGATAATTGATTATAAGCACAATGGCACTGAATGAGAGCCGTTATCACAATTGCTTACCCCAATCTTCAGAGACACTAACTACTCTTGATTGCTGGCTGGAATCTCTTAGGTTTCTGCTGCTCTCAGAGGAAACAAGTGGTAAAGATGAAGAAGATGGAGCCTCATGGATGACAGGAGGAGATTATGTCATGGTTGGAGATTATGTGTAGAAACAATGGAGCAAATTGTGTGTGTGCAGAGACCTCAGGTCAGGCAGAGACACAGGAGTGAGGGCCACAAGGTCTTAC